TTGGCAATGACCTTTGGCGAGCGACATCCAAGTTGCTTGAGGGACTATTACAGGTCGGTAGAAGGGGTAAAGGGAGAGGGTTGGGAACGGAAGACAAAGAGTTAAACAAAGGTTGGGATATATGAGCAATAGCCCACTTATCACTACCCACCCCGCTCGATGCAATGGGCAGTGCGATCCTGATTATCCTGCGCGACGACTGATGCAGTATGAAATTATTTTTATTTTGTGTATGCATTGGGGTTTGGTGGACGGGTACTGCCAGGGAGTCCAGCAGGAGAACGATTAGGGTTCTCGTCCAAAGCCTCTAGTTCTAACAAGAACCTAACCGCAAGGCAGAGGGTGAGGCGAAGTGGAGGCCCATATACTTGGAACAATTACTCCTCCATCGCTTTTTATCGACTGAAACGCCAAATTTCAGGCGAACCCCCAACCTGGAGCACCAGGAGACTGAACTTCGTCTGACTTGTACCCACTGACCTTCCAGGCATGATAAGATCTCCTGGCTTTATAAAGCCATCCTGTTTAGCTCGTTGGGTCACAGAGGTTCACAAGCCATCACACCACGTCAAGGTGTAGTCTCGTAGTGATGGCGTTATACGACATGCAACAACATCGTTATACAACTACCGCGTAGACGTTGCATGTTTATCTGAAGTACGATTAGCCGATTCCGGCTCCCGTAGCATCAAGGTTTCCGGTTCTGATAGTCACCAATATTTTTACCATAGTAGTCCAGAATTTTCAGGTCAACAGGAAATGGGGTTGGCGCTGAGTCAGCGCGCCAGCGCTTTCCTACTCTCTTGAGAACTAATATAGTTAAGGATCACCGTAGCGCGCTTCAAAGGTAATCCTACCAACCTCTCCATAGTAGTGGTCTACGCCCCCACTCTACTATCCAATAGCGTAGTGAAGGACGAGTTTTACGGCAGTCTTCAGGAGATAGTAAATCGTGTCCCAAAGATAGATATACTTATCATGGCCTGAGACTGGAATACTAGAACAGGTGGGCAAGGACCTTCATCGAAATATATAATTGGGAAATTTGGACTGGGTCATCGCGGTGAAAACGGTAACAGGCAAATTAATTTTCCCGATTTTAGCCGGTTATTTATTACCAACACACGTTTCCAACAGCCCAGAAGGCATCTTACCTGGTACTCCAACGACGGTGTAACAACCCACCAGATCTACTATATATTGATACAATCACGCTGGATCTCATCAGTAGAAGACTGCAGATCATATCGCGGTGTCGAAACTGGTAACAGGTGGCTCTGATCACGTGCTCGCTCGTGCGAAACTTCGCCTTCGGCTGACTGCTCGTGTTAAGACCACCCCTCCAAATCGCGTCATCGTTGGCCCAGGGGAGTGTAGCGAGAAATCGAAATGATGAAATTGAAACTCGACTAGCAAATGAGTCTGCCCCACCCGTCAACGTAGCAGACTCCACTAATATGCAGTGGTCCATGATCAAAGTACAACAAGCTGCACTGAACAAACTTGGTACCACGAAACGCTGCTACAAAGATTGAGTATCAGAATAAACTGTCCGCCTCTCAACCCTGGTCAGGGACACCCGTCTAGCCGGCCACCACGATTACCAGCGACTCAGACCGAAGCAACAAATTCCGCACAAACAGATCGGCTCAACTAATGAAGCGAACTAGCGATCAATATGGAAGTCGCAGCCAGTGCGTGCCACTTCGGAGGCCTCTTTCGCCTCATACAATCAGCGTCCGATAGAAGGCAATCTTCACAACCCGTTCTGCGTGACTCCACCGGGAGACTGGTCTTCGGTATTGAGGGTAGAATGACCAGCTGGGTAGAAAATCTTAATCAACTTCTTAGTCATCCACTGGACAGTCCGGTTGACATTCATCCCGATTTAGCGACCCCATACGAGGTCGACTGTGATCCTCCAACGGTAGTGGAAATAGCCGCAGTGATTGATCGCTAAAGTCTGGCAAGGCCCTTAATGAAGACGGAATCCCGGCAGAAATTTATAAGAAATACCTCCCGGTGGTCATCAGGCCACTTCACTCTCTCGCTCTATTTGGGAGACCAAAACATGTTCAACGGATTGGAACACCTCGGTTTTGCTTCCGATCCCCAAGAGGGGCGACAAGATACTGCGAGAATTATTGGGGCATCAGTCTGCTTGACGTGGCTGCGAAAGTTTTTGCTCAGCTCGTGCTTGATCTTTTTTTGCTACAGTGAGGCATGCACGTACTCAGTCAAATCAAGGAGGTTTCCAACCCGGCAAAGGATATATCGATCGAATTTTCATCCTAAGGTGAATTATGGAACACCGATTCAAGTTTCAGCGTCCCACCGCGACGTGCTTCATTGAATTTCGCGCCGCATTCGATTCAGTGGACCGCGAATCACCGTGGAAGATAATGCTTGTAGATGACGTCCTTGCACAGTTGGTCAATATAGTAAGATCGTATTACACCCAAACCAAAGCCCGTATCCGTGCCTACGGCGAAAAATCTCATGCCTTCGATCTGAGGTCCGGAGTAAGACAAGGATGCTCGCTATCACCAGTGTTGTTAAACTTCGCTATTGATTGGATTCTGCGTCGGGCAATGGAGGGTTACCAAAGCCTCCAAGTTTCCGCAGATTGTTGGGTTACTGACCTCGAATTCGCTGATGACATGGCAATGCTTGGAGAGGACCTGACCGCCTTGCAAACAGCTCTCAATCGTTTCAAATGATTTGCCTTGAGATTAATCCTAACAAAACCAAGATGTTCCACCACTTCACCTGATCAAGTGGAACATCCTTTGCAACTGGGTAGTCGGATAATATAAATAGTATCGGACTTCAAGTACCTTAGATCCACCATCCTACCCAATGGACAAGCCAAAGATGATGTAAAGCGGCACATCGACACGGCCCGAGCGGCGTTTCTGCAGCTCCGAACCACTCTATATCGCCGGAATGAGATCAGTCTCAAAACAAAGCTCAGGGTGTTTGCCACAATAGTCCGTCCAGTCCTACTCTGTTGCTGTGAAACCTGGCCGCTGAGAGCTGAGGACATCAGAAGATTGGAGGTCTTCGATCACTGGTGTCTTCGATTCATCCTGAAAGTAAACTGGCGGAACAGAGTCTCAAACTCGGACCTCAGAAATCGATGCCACGTTGCTCGTCTTTCAACGCACATACAACGCCGCCATGTTCGCTGCAGACCCGACGACGCGTACAAGTATTGTCTTGGCTCCGTCACCTTGTCCTGGTTGGCGCCGCCAACAAGGTTGACGCGGCAAGTAAAAACCTGGCTGGACATTGTATTCGACGATATCGACCAAATTGGCCATCGGATAGTGTACAGCACCCTCCGATGGAAAACCAACTGGGTCATTTGCATGGACGGCGGCAATCAGAGACATTCATGGAGCCGGCTTATTCTTTCCAAGGCGCCAGCCGTAGTAAAATAAAGTAAGTAAGTACGCAAAGGTGTTTAATTAAAAAAAATCCTCGAAGAAGTGGTACTGGGGATGGCGCTTTGTACTGCATTTCCAAGATTCTTCATAGATGGATCGTGAGTCTTACCAAGTCCTCACGTTAAAGCAACTCGTCTAAGATTAAAAGTGACTACGGTAACATCTATAAACAAATTCAAATACAAATTTTTATTGTGTAAATCACAAAGCTGATGCTTATTGAATCCCATAGGGTCTGTACACACTGGGTTCGGTTGGTAGTACAATGGAATAGCAAATTCTGGCGTTCACTCACGGGTGCTGAAAAGTTAGGTGATTCAATGCTTCATCCAATTGTGACTTGAATAAATCGATGGTTGGTGCACAAACAACTTGAGGTGGAAGAGAGTTCCAGGTGTTACAAACTAAGGCTGAAAGAATGACGCCTGCAGTCTAGCCGGCTCTTTTGGAGCAGAAGTCCTCGGAGGTGACCATTCCTGCATAGTGTTAGTAAAGTACTACACGGGTGGTTAGGTTGCTGTAGTATTTGATAAATGAGGATCATGTCTCCCCGTGTTGAAATATCTTAACTGCTGTTTTCTGTGCTCCATTCTCTCCAATCTTTTTCACTTTGTTCCACATAAACTTGACCTGTTTCAGTGGCTTTTATTCTACTTCTCTTTCTCATTATTCTCAACAGGTGCTTCAGTTGGATAGGCGACACAAAGCGATTTTCCGTCCCATACTCCCAGATAACTCTTCATGCTATTTCCAAAGACCCTCGGAACACAGCCAGTGGAGATCAGAACAGCACAGTCATTTTCCCCCATCCTCATCTACTTGTCATGATCGACGGCGACCGTTTGTGGACCCCGTTACCCAATAATGGGACAGAAGAAGAGAAAATGGCTGTTGATGAGGTCGAAGCGAATGCAGATACGACTGGCGAAGATGACAATGGAGAAGATACAGATTCTGAAGGACGTGCCTCAGATTGTCCGGGAGTGACTACCATACTTCGTTTTGTTCCGGCAAACCCATCCGTGCTCGAAGGCATGTATAATGCGTTGGCCGAATGTCAAGCACTGAATCCGGACCTGCAGGACGAATTATCCAATTCCGACTTAGATGATTTGGCAGAAGAAGACGGTGAAGAAGATGAACACCCAGGGAACGGTACGCCTGTGTTCTGTTCATTGTTTTCCATACCATAGTTCTTGGATGCTCATCGCGGTGTTTTCTGTGTTATGCTATTGAACGGGGCACTGTGCAAGCTCTGTTCGATTCTATACCGCTGTAGCGGTATTTTCTACTTGTTAGGCTTTACGTTGTGTCCTATATCTGGTTTGATTCAGCTCCGACCTGAATGGTGCTAGAACAGCTTAATGAGGTTTCTTGAGCCGTAACATGTCACCAAACCGGTGGATTCAAAATTAGATTGCATCACAAATACAGAAAGCTCGTTTCGCTATGGGCGCCTCCACCAGAAACCTACTGCTGCAGTTTGATGTTTATTTATCCGTTAAGTATTCGATCACTTTTGTTGTTCTTACTAGGTATTTTTTTCCAAGCACAACGTAATTCTCGACGTTTGACCACTACTTCCTTTGCGGTAATGGTCAATTGTGCACCGATTGGCAGACCTAGAGAATCATGGATGTGGTGCATGAACAGTAAAATGCTTGTATTTACTCCTTTTCAATGTCCTAATGCTTCTTTACAGATTCGGCGTAGTCTACTGGACTGTTTATTGTTTTATCTGCTTTCCGGCTAACTCTGATGCAACAGAGCAAACAGTCTCATCCGTTAAACAATTACTGGTGCTGGTGTAACCCCAACACTATCCGGGCTCGCTCAACTCAGAGTAGTCGACACCATTGCGCAACAGGATTTTCCACAACTCGTACTCTCATCGACACGAGCCAATATGAGGCTCCACAAACGACTGCAAATCACGGAACTAGCGGAACGACGCGGCACCCGGCGAAGAATCCCTGGGAGATAGGTCCTCCGTATGTATGTTTGTATGTGACCGGAAGAAACAAAGCAACAGGAACCAAAAGATCCAGTGAACTTTAAAGATACTTTTTGCCAGCTCTAATCGAAAACGTTGCTACTGAACTGCGTCTATCTTTTTACTTCAATCTTTTCGATGCTTTGAGTTCGTTGCAAAATGGTTTTTAAGGTTTTACCGCTATATTTTATTTTGAATTTTCTGGTCAGTTTTCCTCCCGAATGGATAAAATCAAACGCTTCCAATCAGGAAGTGTCTCGTCCTTAGATGTTCGAGTTATTTAAGCTCCTGAATGAAACTCAAAGGAGAGGTACTTATGCCTTCCCGACAAAAACTGAAATCGTATTGATTATTGTTCCACTGAGGTGTGCTAGCCGTTTATGACCGGTACGCCTATATAGTTTTGATAATGCACTCATCAGGGTGTATTTAGCTACACAAAAATGGTGTAAAGTGTGATATGAAATTCCATTCAAGTGCGCGGCCTCTGTGCTGCTCGAATTTAAAGTGAATCCATTTGAAATCGGTTCTCAGCTGTGACATCGATGCGTAACACATAAGCGAATGTCTCATTACGACCTCATTTCTAGACTAACCAAAAAAGGATGTTTTGACCGTAGTTGCCAGTGTCACAATCCGCCTGTTCACAGTATTTATTCAATCCCGACCTGCGATATATGGAAATCCGACCATAATACATTTCTTTCTGTACACATAATTCATCAATCCATGGTGCTTCCTCGCTCTTGGAAGACGAAATGAAACAAAGGGCTTGTGATGAGCTCGAACGATTGAGTGACGAGCGAGCGAGAGAAAGAAAACGGACACCCGGAAACAAGGCTTTAATCTTTTAGCAATGTAGGTACATCGGCTACAATAGAAACATGGAGAATCTACATTTTCAGTAAACGGTGATGCTGTGGTATAAAGATCCAAAGTATAACAAAACCACAACAGGGGGCTTATGTCTAATGCCTCTAAACAATTGATGTTTGATGAGTCACACCCAAATGATGTAGTATTGACAAGGTAGTCTTGCGGAGGTAGTATGTGACCATCGTTTGGCTACCAGTTGAGTTAAATTCCCCGTTCGGTGCCGGGACGAGAACCGCAAGTAGAACTATTCGGTGATGATGGTGCTCCAACGCTTGGCGCACATTCAACATCCCTCGGCTTGGCCTGAATTTCTAAATTAATTCATTAGCATTTTTTTTCATCAGCATCTAATCCAAATACGTTATGTGATGTTCACTTTTCGGATAAGGTTGTTCGGGACTACGTTTTTTTATCGTACCCAGGGTTTTCATGAGCTAATGAAAATATCTTCCTTTTCTTCTCTATCCATTCATCTCCCCCGCGCCTCCTCCGGATCGGCGTGCTCATTCTCCTTCCAGGCCATGTCGGAGTTCCGGAGTTCGATCCGGATCAGTTCACGGACGCCTGATACAGCTGCCTTCCGAATGTGGGAGCAGTGGACTATTTTTTATGAATTTATTGTATTCATGAGTGTATGCTCGCACTCACATATGTTCGTGTACAGCAGCAACAAGGCACTTTACAATCCATACTTAAAAAGTGCTTCTACAGTTCTTTTGAATCAGTTATTGGTGAATGGAAGGGTCCATAGGTGCCATATTTCAGTGTCAAAGTTTTCTGTAACGTGCTGATGTGTGGACATGCTTTCTGTACCAGAATGCCGTCCAGTAGTTAATTGATTCCTGGCTTGTAACACCCCTAGTTGTGGAACAATCCTGTCCTAAGAACTCCATCGAATCGTCCAGCGTTTGCTGAGAGAAAAAACAAAGTGGAACTAGAAGAGCAATTCGGTAGTTGTTAAACCACCGATTAAGAAGACGATCAGGGTCATGTAACATGACAGTGTATTAAAAAGTACGTGAGCAGCTGGGATAGCATGTTATAGGAAATACGTCTTTTTGGTTCAGCTTCGGAGAATGTTCAAGAACAACCAGAATGGCATAAGTCATTGGCATTAAACATGGTTTGATGTGAACAAATGGTCCAGGACGGCGTGGATTGTTGTGCATGGGAAAACGCATTACGAAAATCATTCGGACTTAAGCTGGACATGTTTGACGGTTTGGAAGAAGTAGGTCTGATGTGATCCATCTCTTCAGAGATTCCGCGGTGCCCTGCTCGCATCCTTTCTTACTCTCTCCACTCGCCTAGTTTGTGTACAGTTTGAACTTGAAAGCGATCAGTGAATTTCGCTTCTCTGTATCTTGCTGTACTATACCGATCAGGATTCTCTCTTCAATATCCATGGATTTTGTCGCATGGAACAAAGTGGATGAATAGACTGAAGTTGTTTGTGTGAGTCACTTATTGACTAAGTGCAAACATCTGAGTGAACTGTGGCTGATAGTTGGTCTCAAAGGTCGTCGCATCAGTGATCTTGTAATTCACTAATTATATACCTGCGAATACTTTCATGGTCAGTTGTGGCGTGGGTCCCAGGGTTTCTTTGCGTAAATGAATGTTGAAGCCTGGTGTATATGCCTGTGTTTAAATGCCTAAAATATAAAGCACGGTGATAAGTGCGTTAAACACCCATTTTGGTGATAAATAGTCGAAACACAATTACCATGCTCAATATAAAGTCACTGATGCAATTAAATAGGCGAGTATTTTTCCCGGCCAGGTTCCCAACCAGCGGAACAAACCTGGATAGGCTAACTTACATACTCTCTCCTTGGCTGAGTGGTTCAACCCAAAACCAGTTGGAGTGAAGTTCGGGATTCTGTCTCGTTCACCCGGGGATCGGAAATGTCAGACCCAATGCCTTTCCGAAAGATGTTTGCATATTGGAACCGCCCAATTCATTCCCTTCTCCAGACGAACCGGTGGTGTTTGTCTCCAGGTTGATCATTACACTTGTATGAGAAATTTGGAACTTGGCCACGGTTTAGCTTTCTTGCATTTTATTAGTGTTGTGATAGGAAAGGTGATCTCCACAATCTCAGGACATGGGATTGCGATTGTAACATTTAGGCTAAGAAGCGTTTGTCTCTGCATTTGATTGGTAAAATTTCCGGGCTTGAGGTTGCTAGAGGAATATTATGGAAAGTTAGAAGTGTGATTGACTAGCCGCTTGTGTCCGAGACTGACGTGGGCTGACAAATGGAAATGAGACGAAAAGTTAAATCAAAACGGAATCTGCAGCTTCGGGATGGGATATGGAAGTGAATGCCTGACGCTGGGCCAGGTGCTTATCACGAATGCGTCTTTGGCAAGGCGAAGGCCTTTATGATACACCCGATCACGAAGAGACAGAAACAGACAGCTAGGCGTCTTACCAATGGCTTCAGTGTTCACAATGCGAAAACGAACATTGTAAGTTAGACTGATTTGGACGTGAAAACTGCAATTACGGAAGAGGAGCCCGATCTTGAGTTGAGCGCGAGCGGCAGACAAATAAATGTAGGGCAACTATGACGGTGAAATGTAACTTCTACCCAGAATAATAAGCGTTGGGGAAAAGGATTATCGTTTAAGAGAACTGGACGAGGGCTGTTTTACCGGCATTGAAGATAGCATTGAGGCAGCATCAGGTAGATCGGAATTGGGAAACGTATTGAGCGCGGCGTGTTCATTGCCTAATACTGGTGTTCGCAGAGTTGAAGGAGAATTGGCACAACTGAGTGCTCATTGACGTCATTGGTAGCATGCACAAACTTGGCAGTTGAGGCAAGGTCATCGATGGTGATCTGCAAGTGTGTTGGGAGGGGGAGCCTTGCGGGACATCAGAACTTAGAAGGAAAGAGCTGAAATTCCCGTCCACTCAGAATACTTTGGATGTTGGTGTCTTCCAGGACAGGTTCTGTGGAAGCGCCCAGTTCGGTAGTTTCATCAACGCACTCGATCAAAAATCCTCGATGCGTGCGGCCAGATCAAATCGTGGTCCCTTTGGTTGAACATGCTGCTGACCATATGGGGGAAGCAATCGCATCCGAAGGTTACCGGCAGACTGGCCGTATTTACTTTCCTTCATCGGCTTTTTCTACTCCAGAGGATGATGGAGTTGACAGGACGTGGCTGATTCCGTAACTTTGCTCAATGGAGCTTGTTGCTCACTGCTTTTAAGATGAATGTAAACTTCATTCATTTAGAGGTATTTCACAGAAAGTCACTCATTCGATTTGAGTAAGTGGTGAATTTCATCGGGCACAGAGAAAACGAAGCGTGAACTAAAAGTCTAAAAAGCGTTCGTTGTACAACTGTTTGAATCTTACCGTGAACCCTTCAACCCAACGGAGGATTAAACCCGA